CCTTTGAAGCAACAAAATTACTCAAAATCTAAAGAAGGGAACACAAGAACGGACCTGAGGAAGATGAAGTTTAGCTTAATAATGATGCTCCATATTCTGAGAAAACTATTCTAGGACTTAGATTTCAGATCAAAAGTTGCTGAGCCATGTTTTAAATTGTGCCTGAATTCAGCATCTGGGAAACATTCACATATTCAGACGATTGCAGCTACATCTCGTCACCCCCTGAACTGATGAATTATAGAAACTGCTAGTGTCTTTGCATCATGTCAGTGCTTGCATGCATTTCTAATAGTGACTTCCCAAAAATTTGAGAAGGCGCCTGCTTGAAATCATTGTTTCTTCATGATGACTGCTTGCCAGAAAGAACGGTTTCTCACAGAATTTAGTCCTCTGTTTAACCAAGTACGCTTTTCAACAACAATTTTGGATACCTTTTGGATTACTGCAAATGATAGACTGTACAGCACTTTTAACCCATTTGTCCTTGTACAGGGTTCCCACAGTCATTGAAAATCCTGGGAAAAAGTTGTCCCGGAAAGTCATGGAAAACTCACGGAGAATTAGTCTGAAGAAAACTCGTCGAAGATTGTACAAGAGTGATTTTGATGGTGGTTATGGATAGTGGCTATGGCAGTCTTCCCGTTTAATATACCAAACAAATCTGAGTGGCATTAAATGCAGTGGAAATTGTCGTATTTCAGTTCTGGAAAGTGCAGGAAAGGTCACTGAATTTGATTTTCAGATTTCATTGGAACAGTCAGTCAGGGCCAAATTTCTCGGCGCTGCTTAGCACGTGATTTCATGCTTACAGAGGCTCAGCGTATTTCATGCATACTGTAAACATTAAATACAGCAAAATGAATCCTAGCCTTGGAGCATGGATCTACCTCCATGCTTGGAGGGAAGATTTGCTTAAACTTAGTGATGTAACAACAGAAATCTCTTTCTGCACACAACCGTTAGCACAACCACCCCAAACACTGCCATGAAATAGTGCTCAAGGTTAGCACATTTTTCTGCCAAAGTTAGCACGATTTTTCTTCTGACTGTGTTCAGAAGCCCCATGAAATTGGGCCCTGACCCCACCCAGCCTGTTACACCCTGCACTCCCCAGCACTGTATGGTTTTTATAAAATTTAACAGCCACCCACAATAAGAGTCTGTGTGGTGATGGGTTGAAACGTGGATGTTTTGCTCATGTGGGGAAAAGATTATTGTTACAGTATGACTGAAAAACCTTAGGTGACCTATTCTGGTTGTTTTTTGACATTTTCCCCTCTTTTTAGATTTGGGAAGGCCTCATTGCCAGGTGAATGTACTGCCATGGCTGCCTACATGAACGCTGAGGCTGGCTAGCGTCATGGTACGAGTGGACTGACCGATGACATCTTCGAAGTGAAGAGGCAGGTTACATCATAAGTAGCACAGGTAAGAGTCCTGTGTTTCATATCATTGCTGGCTTTCTGCAAGGTGAATACAGGAAAGGAGGAGGGCCAATTGGGGTCATGACTAAAAAAGGAGCAAAAATTGTTTTCATTTGAAAATGTGAAAGGATCTTCCTGGTCTATTCAATTTCCCTTCTTTTGAAAAGTGGAAATGTAGCCTAACCCCTCAAACAACTTTTAAAAAAAAAAAAAATTGGGCCCCCAGAATCAAGTTTGTCCCCCCTCTCTACACAAACAATTGGGTCCTGGATCTACCCTTGGGTGCTTGTTGCTGGCTTTTAGGGCATCCCTGATCTAAGGATGGTTGTCTGCATTGTGTCAACCAAGCAAGACAATAGGGGTGAGGTTAAACCCTTCTCACTCGGGCAAGCTAGTTGAATGCACCAACTATACTGGAATTGTTCACATTTTCCCGGCCTAAAGTTCCTTTTCGTTCATGGTTCGTTGCTGTTTCATGACAAATTACCATTGATCAATGGTCCGCATTTCCTGAGACATGGTCAACATGATCAAGGAGCAATTAGGGTTTCATAGTTTGAATAGGAAAACTCGTGAAATGAAAGGTCCAATCATAGACATGAAAAACCTTTAGACCGACAACAGCAGGGGCATCATTTAAGGAAAGTCTCTATTTTTAATAACCATGACCAACGCTGCCTTGTCCCCTGGGGTTTCGTGATTTGCTGCACAGCACTGCTCTGCATCAAAGAAGATGGATTGGGGGCAACTGTGGCAATTGTCCGTCAAGCATTATTTGGCCGTGTTGGTCTTTCAGTAAAAGTTCTAACCCGGCACAGTTCAATTTTTCTTGCTCATAATATTGCCCATTATTACAAGCCATTAGTAGGAGCCAAGGTGCACATTATGTGAAATTCAGGTAAATTCCTGACATCCCTGTTGTTTAGTGAATATTTTGAAAAGCAACTTTAACAATTCAACAAATTGTCTCAAGTTTTAGCTGATAGAGCACTGAGAACTGTGTTTCCAAAACATTTCCAAAAATAAAGTCTAAAAATCAAAATCACATACATTATGGGGATTTATTCAGGCTTTTTGAAGGTGAGCAATGAATATAGACTGATGGCCAGATTTCTGTACGAGCTGTTGGTCCATAGATATTTGAGGTTTTGTGGTCGTCCCTGATTGACGCTACAGTATTACTGTGAAACAGCGCCCTCACTTGTTAGGACAAGGGAAAGACAATTATTAGCGTTTACACAGTCACTTCTTGATTCACTGAACCCTAAAGGGTTGTCTCGAAAAATAGTTTTAACAAAGAGTACAAATCACAAATGCTTTCAGAAGTAATGGGTCAGCAGTGTCAAAGTAATTCTCTTGTCGTAGTTCATTTTCTGACATTAAATGGATGGAAAGAAATTGACACATTTTTTTATGAAATAAGGAGTGTACAAGGACCCTATATGTTTTTTAAAGAACGGTCTCAATTTCTGCTCCATCTTAGTTCCTTTTGGGATTAATTTCTTCGCCAGACCTCCTCACATGAAAGCTGTGGGTATGCCCGAGGAGAAGCAGACCATGATGCTGATTAGAAGAGCGCCCTCGCCTCCTTCAACCTGGAGAGAAGGAAGGTGGAGGCCAAGATCCTATGGGACTTCACAGAGATGATTCATGAGAATGTCAAGGAGTGGAAGTAACTCAGATAGATGGCAGTCCTCGCCTCCATCACTGAGGAGGAACAGTTTCCAAGATTGCATCATGGATCCTCATCAGAATCTTAGGCATTGATTCACAAAAAGGCAAGGAAAGGACTCAATCTTCTCAGAGGTCGAGTTCGGGCGGCCTGTTCTTGACACGGGTTTCTTGTTCTCGCGCTCAAACTGCGGGAACACGACTCAAGAACACTGTTCTCGGAACAGG